AGGTGGGGTTCAGAAACCAAATTTTGGAGACCTCAACAATGAGCTAAGAAGACCCCATTTGGGATTAGGATCCAGTTTCAGAAACAGTGTTCTGATGTATTAAAATGTACCTCCGTAATACAGAAAGCACATCCTAATCACAATAAATTCCAATGTTTCATTTGAATACATACATTTCAATTTGTCCTAAATGGAAGAAGCCCATTGAGAACCAGAGCACAGCACACCCACTTCACATCTTCATGATTCATAGTAAAAGGAATAGGACATTTTGGTCCCCACTTTTCGTCTGGTAAAAGAGAATAGAACTGCTGGCACATTTTCCAGCTATTTTGTTGTTCTTATTTATAGTGAAAACTTCCCAGTCATAGAGAAAAATATGAAATTTGGGGAAACTTTACAACAGTGTTGGTTACAGTGCTGTAGAATACTTAAACTGTACAAACACTTGTAGATTTTTAAACAAAATCTGGGGGATTAAAAAAACATTCTAATGTAAGGGAGTTATATGATGCTTCCCAAAGTATCTAGTGAGATTTTTCTCTTCTTCAGTGAGTTGGCCACCAAGGAAGGGTTTATAATCAGAAATGAGAGGGCGAGGCACTCTGAAGAAATTACCTCTAATTATCAAGCTGTCCCAACTTCTCTATTTCCAAACAACTGCAACACAAAAACATTTACGGAAGTGATATCAAATGTTTTTAATCTTTTACTGTACAGCTTCCACCTTGCAGTTAAAACAGCATAGGATGCAAATAGGAATGAGATTATTTTCCATACATGCTGTATGTACATGGCAAATAATAAGATACATGAATACTCATTTTTTAGTTTATTTTTAACCTAATATTTTCAGGCTATTTTCAGTCTCACATCTGGAGGGCACAGGGTAGGGAAAACTGAATGAGGTACTCTTCATATTTAAAAAAGTGGAAATAGGTTTAAATACTGCTTATTCTAATAAAAACACAATAAATAGAAGCTAAATTGGATCCACTAAAAGTTAGGATTGATTAGAACATGGTCTCCTTCCAACATTTATAATGTAATAATATACAAATTGAGTTTTCATTATCTGAAATGTTTGGGAGAAGAAGTGCTTTGGATTCTGGATTTTTTTTTCAGATTTGGCATATTAGTGTTTATGTATACATATATATATTTACATAAATGAATTCTGTGTTCAAACTTGGAGTTGAGATCCAAGTTTGCACACAAAATGTATTTATGTTTCATATATACGACTTAGGAGCGTAGCCTGAAGGTTATTTTATACCTAATAATAAGAATAAGAATAACAACAGCAATAACAACAACAACAACAACAACAACAACAACGGAACAACAACAACGGAAAAGCTTACATGATACGGAGATTTAAAAATTGGACTGCAAAGACTGTGGCACAAGTCAGTAAAGAACTTGCCCTGCACTTAAAAACAATCAGCGCTGACAAAATTACCACCTGTAAACTGCAAAAGGCCACTCCGCTCTGATCTACACATATTACTCGCTGATACATCACACAGTCCTAGATGCTTGGGAAGTCTCTGACATGGGACTAAATACAAAAGCCAGGATAGTGATCTTGTTTACTGTAACTTCTTCTTCTTCTTCTTCTTCTTATTATTATTATTATTATTGTTATTATTATTATTACTATTATTATTATTAATAATAATAATGTGCCCAAAACTATGTTTGCGTGCACTGAACCACCAGGCAAAGGAGTCACTATCTCAGTCTTCTGATTTGTTTCAGAATATTTTGCCTTTTATAATTCTGAATAAGGGGTGCTGAGGCTGCAAAATGCTACTGGACAGTAGGTAGTTATCCCGAAGCTTCTACTGAATTTTCCAATTTGAACCTAGTTGCTGATTTCTTAAACCATCTTCCCAACATAAAAATATATGAAGGTCTGTATAACTTATGCACAAAAAATGTTCCAAAAGTGACTTGCAAACAAAAAAGGGATAATTAGGGTTACGAAGGTGCTAATTCCCCATTACACACTGCTTGCCTTGATTTTTACCAAAAGACATTGAATCAGAGGCTCTAGCTCCTCCCATAGTGCCACTGCCTCTTTCAGCATACCGTATTTTTGCAACGCTGGCTGTAACAGCAACAGTGGTTCTAAAACATGTTCAGAGGTGGGATTAATAGCTTCAAGGAGTCAGGAGATAATGGAAATGATACTGCAGGTCTTGTTGGTAGTATCCCTGTAAGGGGCAACAGATTTGTGGATCTGGTAAGATCATACAAATCAGTTACTGTATATATTCATGTGTAAGTCTGACCTCATGTATAAGTCGAAGGCAGGCTGGGGTCCAAAATTGTGGATTTTTGATATGACCCGTGAACTAGTTGAGTATCATTATGCAGAGAGGGAAAAGTACCAATGCTGCACTTCGGTTGTCAATGCCATTTCCCTGTCCAGACCTTTTAAAAGACCAGAAGCAGCCCTGCAAAAGAGAGAGTAGGGGAGGCTAAGTGCTTATTTTTGCTTCTCCCAGGATGACTAAGGCTGAGCCCTTGCCTTTTGCAATTCTACTCAGAGAATAAGATGATTGCTTTTTAAAAAGAGTTTTATAAGTACAGTAGTCACACTGAACCGTGGATAAGTCGACCCAGGTTTTGGGGTTGATTTTTTAACTAAAATTTCTCTTATAAGTATTTAGGGGACTTTGCTATATGAACAGATGCATTCAGTAGACGTGTCTTTAGAAAACTTAATGTCACCCATTAATTTCTGAGCAATATTGGGGAGTGGTGAAATAAAGGTAGGAGTGCAATTCTTGCAAGGGGTACATGAACTTAATTATATGAACACACTGTAAATGTAACTAAACCTGGAGCAACTTCAACATCACCCCACCCATCTATACAGAATGCCTAGTTACTAATTTATTATTGCATGCACAGAGGTAATAATTGTTACTCTGGTTTTTTTCCCAAAGAGAAACTTGAATAGAAACAAGAACAATGTCATCACCAATGTGCCATTTGGTCATGTGCTCAGCTCTGTGCATGAGCATTGCAAGATAGAGCAGAGTTACTAAAACACATATCACTCTTGACTGTAGAAACCACACCAAGAAGGTGGAAGTGATTAATGTTTTTATTTTAAGAGCTATCCAGGAGATTGGTGAAGTTTTCAAAACTAAAATTGTTTACAGTGAACATTGTATTGTTACCTTCTGTCTGTATATATCACTTGTGGAATAATTTGTGCCACACTTTTAAAATATGGCGTTTTAAAAAGGTACTTATTTGATAAGAAGAAGAAGAACTTTATGTTTCTACCCCGCCTCCTTCTCCCCGAAGGGACTCAGGGCGGCTTACATGCAAAAAATCTTTTTGTAATACACATTTTTAAAAAGACTAAAATTTCTAAACACATACATGATTCTACTCAGGAGTGTCCCAACCTAAGAGTATTTTGAGTTAAGAGCTATTTCTCAGCCCAGGTTCCACTTTGACATAAGAGCAGAATTTTGAGTTAAAAGCTAGCACCAGAGGGAGCGCCAGAGTACAAGGCTTTTGGGCAGTGGTTCTCAACCTGTGGATCCCCAGGTGTTTTGGCCTACAACTCCCAGAAACCCCAGCCAGTTCATCAGATGTTAGGATTTCTGGGAGTGGAAGGCCAAAACATCTGGGGATCCATAGGTTGAGAGCCACTGCTTTAGGGCTTCAAGAGAGCAGTATCCACGCCTCTGTGACTCGTACTTTTGTCTGCTTTGGGAGACTGCTGTCTGCTTTGCTGTTGTTTACTTTCAGGAATTTTAGATTAGTTGATTTTATGTGGTTTTATTCCTGGTATGTTTGGCTTCATGAAGAAAGTCAGCAAGAGAGAGAGAGGGAGGCTGGAATGAGTACAGTATGGAGAGAATGATGCTTCTGCCTCTTCACTTTGTGCTTCCTTGCCACAACTTTGTGCTTCTACCATTTTAAAGTTAATATTTCTTATTGCTCCATGTGAATGTGTAGGTTTTGCCTTTCTGTTATACTAGCCAACACACATTTTGTTGCCTCAAATGTGTTTCCCTGCCACAACTTTATGCTTTTGATTGTTTAATTAATCATAATTGTTGACACTTTATTGTAATTTGTACATTGTGTTTTGTAAATTGTTGGGCATCGAATTGTGCCTTTTGTAAGCCGCCCTGAGTCCCCCCTAGGGGGTTGAGAAGGTCGGGGTAGAAGCACTTCAAATAAATAAATAAATAAATAAATACATTTTACCATTTTAAAGTTGATCTTCCTTTTTTCCCCCCATTGTTCCGTGTGCATGTGCATTTATATATTATTTGTTATTTATAAAGTAGTTTTTCTTATTTAAAAACATGTAACAAAAGGGGAGGACAACGGATTAATAGCATTTCAATGGACAAATCTGCTTTGAGATAAGAGCATTCTGAGTCAAGAGTTCAGTCATGGAATGAATTAAACTCTTAAGTCAAGGTATCCCTGTGTAGGGTAGTATGACTATTTATGCCATTATTTATGACTTACTTTTCTCTCAAAACTGGAATTGAAAATAGCATACAAATTAAAATACAGTTAAAACATAAAAAACATAAGGTGACCCCTGCCGAAACGGATACAACATAGGGAACATAAACTTAGCTATGCTGGTGCTATTGGGGCCTCGATTTTCTACAACGAAAATATCTTCATTCAAATATTCTGGTTCTGTCTGACTTTGGATGTGATGTTGGACATACCTCACTTTCTTTCACATTGCTATTCAAAATTTTAAAAAATCAGTAAGATAATTTATTCGAGAGAATCCCAAAACCAGAGTCAAATGTCCTCATCCTCTGTCTTTTGGCAAACATTTACAAATTACTGCATTGAACTGAATTTCTTAAAATAAGTAGCAAGCAGAGAAATAATTACAAATAAAATCTGCAAAGGATATTTATTTTAATCAATCACAGCTACAACACTTGAATATACTGTCTAAACATGTCTATATTAGATGAATGACTAAAACTTACAGTCACATTAAAGATCTTGAGGTCAGCCCCGTATACCTTCATCTCTTCTGGGAAATCTTTATAAGTATTCAAGTAAGGAATGTAACCATCCATTACAAACCTAAGGTAGAAAGGAAGGAAGGAAGATCCAAATTATTTGGGTCAAAGTTGGATCTCAGGCTTCAAACACTTAACACAATGATCTGTATAATTGAAGGACAGTCTTCCTCCAGGATTTCAGTATATATTCTGCCTAGGTTTCCTTTCACAGACATATAAAAACTTTTATTCTATTAGGGTTTTTTTCATGTCAGGAGCCACTTGAGAAACTGCAAGTCGCTTCTGGTGTGAGAGAATTGGCCATCTGCAAGGATGCTGCCCAGGGGACGCCCGAGTGTTTTACCATCGTGTAGGAGGCTTCTCTCATGCCCCCCGCATGAGAAGCTGGAGCTGACAGATGGGAATTCACCCCCTCCCTGGATTCAAACAACTGGCCTTTCAGTCAGCAGTTCTGCCAGCATAAAGGTTTAACTCATTGCACCACCAGGGGCTCCTTTTGGATTTTCTATTAGATGTTTGATTCTATTGGATTCTATTAGATGTTTGGAGATAACTGAAGATAGCCAATATAATTTTGTTGTTTTGGTCAGTTTAATGCTCCCATCTTAAATGTTCTGGTGCTAGAAATTAAGGTGACTTCATGAGCTCTGTTTACCTTCCTACATCAAAATTCCTCCATTTGCCTAGTGCATGGGGCCCTATCATCTCCCACAGCTAGAAGAGGTTAAGTGGAAAGACACATCTGGTAAAGGGCTCATTTAGTCACAGTTATGTTTTGCTTCAGAATCGGACACACAGAAGTAGATCTCCATTGCCAGTATTTTATGATGCAAAATAAAAAGCAATGTCCCAGAATTTCAGTCACCTATCTTTTTCTTCTACAAATAAAAACTTATGTACAAAAAGACTGACCAAACAAATCAACAAGTCTGCCTTCCACTTGTATGGGTTTCATATTCGAGGTCTTGATGACACGCAGTCCCCCAGGTTATGGAAAAGAGAGATTTTGTAAGTTTGTTCTTAAGCTGAATATGTATATGTTGGAACAGGTATCTTTTTAAGTGTAACCACTTCAAGATGCTTCAATTACCATGTGGAACAGGCTCCTCCTCCCCTCCTTGGTGACCCCAGGAGTGCCCCCCTCATTCCCTCCTCACCCCACTAGAGGGGTTTGCCATTTTCCCACTTTCATGGAGGGAACTGCACCCTTAACCCTCTTGAAAGGGAAGGGTGTAATTCTTTTGATACTGAGATACCTTTTTATCCTAGGCAATGATGAGACAAAAAAGTATCTCATAACACAAGTAAGCAGAACTGACACCGTCTGGTTGTGAATAGAATGACTCCATTCACAGAAAATCAAAATCCCCTTCATGAAAGAAGATACTAGAATTCATCAGGGACAGGAAATACCTCACAATGAGAAAAATATGTATTACTTGATTGTATTTTATGTGATTTTATTACATTTTATTTCATCTCATGTTTTTTGGCTCTGAATGGTCATTGGAAGACACAGCATTCTGCAAATACAAAGACTACACAGCACATGAAGTATTTTATACCCTCTAGCACAGATTACACCCCACAAACTCACACAGTGAAAGTTTTCTTTCAAGCTAGTCTGCGAGTTTAATTTATATAAGTATTGTCTGTGAGCAGTTAGGTTTTAAGGTATGATGTATTAATATTATAAATTAAATCAATTCTTTGTATTCATGGGTTATGTATCCACCAATTTTACCAACAAAATACTGTATTTCATCGCATAATAGTCGGCATTGAATAATAGTTGCATCCTCATTTTCAGGGTGGCAAAACCAGTAAAACGCATATTCCTCACAGAATAGTCGCAACCCTGGTTCACAGGTGTAACTATTATGCAAAGGGGGAAGACACATAAGCAGGCAAGGCTTCACATGTGGTTGTGCCCTCAAAGAGCCAAAGGGGGCACAAAAGGAGCTTTTTGAACCGCATAATAGTCCCTCAAAGGGGGCTTTTTGAACCACTGCATAATAGACGCACCCCCCTTTTTTTGCAAAAGAGGGGGGCAAGTGCAACTATTATGCGGTGAAATATGGTAGAGGGGAAACAAAAAAGCAAAACTGAATTTTACTGTACACCAAGCACTATGCTGATGTGTAGACATAGCCTGCTGTAGCCTCCCTCAATTTCTCAGAAGCATTTGTTTGAGTCGTTCACCATTCAATGTCATTTTACTACAAAAATGTAAATAATAGGTCTTGAGAATCCACAGACCTTGGTATCCATGGGGTGGGTGATATCATGGGACCAAACCCCAGAAGATACAGAGGGTTCACCGTAGGTGAGTGGTTCCCAGTCTGGGGTCTGTGGACTACCAGTGGTCCCAAAAAACTAAAATATGATCCTCAGTCTCACCGTTACTACACTGTTGCAATGGAAATGACTGGTCTCCTGAAACCCTCTTATAGTGCCGAGGCAACAGGGACATCAGGAGGGGAGAGGCTGACTACCCACGAAAGGTGCGACAACAAGCCTCCTGACAGCTGTTTCTCCTCCCTCCTTCCCTGAGTGGAGCCATTCCATGTGATCCCTGGAAGTGGCGGCACTTTGGTGTCTTCATTTTTAGGCCTGTTTCTGGGGGTTTTTGGGATGCTGATTCAAAAAATTGCTTTGGATAGACCACATCAGCTCTGGATTATTAAATATGGTTTCTGGGGTGAGAAGATGGCGACTACTGGATGGCATATGTTTTGTATCAGAAACTAGAGTTGATGTGGTTTATCCAATGCCATTTTCTGAATATGCACTCCAAATAACCACATCAAATCTAAAGTTGACCAAAAACCGATTCGTAACCCTTTTGGTATTAAGGTTGGAGAGTGGTCCCTGGTCAAAGTGGTCCCTGGTCAAAAAAAAGTTTGGGAACCAAACTTCTACTTATTCACAACTCATATAAAAATGTGGCAAGTCTTTGACAACACATTCCAATGATTAAATGCAAAACATAAAGTAAGCTCAAACACTAAGATATTTCGTTAACATTAAGCTTACCTTAAGAGATCTGATAGTGTTATTGATTCTCTCAGCCAGAGCAATGCTAAAGAGCAAAAAGCCAAAGTCATTGGCATGGACATTCTCATATCCCCTTTTTTTCTTCTTCCTAAATATAAGGTACCATCCACAGATCCAGACCAGACTGATGTTTCTGTGGAAAGCATTGAAGAATCATATAAACGTTCTTTTGCTCTATTCCTGTTTTGAAGTAGTTGTTATATTCTAAGCAGCAGTTCAGTTGCCATGATAATAGTGTGGCGAAGCAGAGAAGAGAGACAAACAGTTGAGGAAAGTCATGCCAAGGAGAGAGGGTGAATTCTCTTTAAATCTTATGCATTGAAAACTTTAGTGTGTGGAACTGGGGTCTTGGATTTCAAATGTTATTAACTAATCTAAATTCAAACCAACAGAGTCGTTCTGCCTTGCTCCATAGATGGGAAACAGAGAATGAATGGGTAAAGAAAGATCCTGAAACCACAAATTAGAGCTGGCTCAGAAAGGTGTGTGTAAGCAAATCATCAGATTACATCTCTACAAAGGATTTCATTCCTCAGCATAGCCAGGAGGATGCAAGGGAATTGATGTAATCTTTAAAAATTAAAACCAACTATTAAGTACAGCACCTCTCTACAAGTTAAACTTGTGGTGAAGGTAAAAATTATTTATCTTTTTTTTAAAAATGGACCACCCAGGAAGAATTAATAAATGATTGAATATATAATTCCATTGATTAAATCTTTCCTGTATCATTTGTGTGTGTGTGTATATGTATATATACCTATTAAGTGATCTCCTTTGCATTAAAAGATACATATACAAATGATACAGGAAAGGTTTAATCAATGAAATACAAACACTGGGCCACAAGAAGAGAGTAATAATTGCGTCTATCTTCTGACGCAACAGCACAAAAAGAAGTACTGTCAATCAGCAGCTATGACTCCTCAGATCTGATGATGCAAAAAAACCATGTGGGGAGATTTCCATACAATTCAAGAGAATCTATCACTCTCATCACGTTATACATGCTCAACCCTACCACATTCTTCAGTACCTACCTTTTTGGTTGCAAAATAAGCTTGCAAATGTGATGGCAATGTGTCAAAGAATAGGGACAAACCATTTTTGGGACTGTTAATTGATTTAGAACTGTTTATTATAATTGTATACTCTCCTATCTCCAAAGAGCACAAGGAAGTAGACATGTTACTACCTACATTCTCATTTTATTTTTGCAAAAGCCCTATGAAACAGTTACTAGCTGATAATAATAGTTTCTCGATTGAGAGGCAATCCCACAAATTTAATGGGGTTTTCTTAGGCAAGAAATGCCCAGAGGTAATTTTGCCAGTTCCTTCATCTGAAACATAGCCTATAGAACAGTGCTTCCCAAACTGTGGTCCGTGGACCACCAGTGGTCCACAAAAACGAAAATATGGCCTGCAGCCTCACCATTACTCACCATTACTACACTGTTGCAACGAAAGCGACTGGTCTCGTGAAACCCTCTTATAGTGCCAAGGCTTAACCCTAACCCTAACCCGTACCTAATATTATTGTTGCTTGCCATAGCATTGCACTTAATTCCCGGACCCCCTAGAATTTTTGGGCTTGCACAAATCTTGGCCCGGCCTTTTAAATTTTTTTAATTGCCTTGAACAGGCAGGATTACTTTAAATATATGTGTGTTATGGCGACAATTTTTATGCTTATATTTTGTTTTGTTAATCTTATGGTTATGTGTTTGTTTGTTTTTTACTTTGTATGTTTTGTGATGTTACTTGGGAACCGCTCTGAGTCCCCTCGGGGAGATGAAGAGGTATATAAATAAAGTTTTATTTATTATTATTATTATTATTAAATATGTTTTTCTGTGCGCGAGCAAATGGCAACTATTGGATGACATATGTTCTGCATCAGAAACCAGAATGTGGTCTATCCAATGCAATTTCATTAATCAGCATCCCAAATAGCCAAACTGAATCTAAATTTGACCAAAATTGATTTGTAACCCTTTTGGTACTGATGTTGGAAAGTAATGCCTGGTCAAAGTGGTCCCTAGTAAAAAAAGGTTAGGAACCACTGCTACACAACGTGGCATTTGTTGGTTGCCTCCCACCCAAGTACTAACCAGGGCTGTCTCTGGTTAGCTTCCAGGACCATGCAGGATCCCGTGTCTTTCCCCCAAAATAAAAAGGTTATGAAAAACTGCTCTAGCCACTATGCTATACCACTTTTGGTTTTGATGCTTACAAGTCCTTAATGTCAATGATTTCAAAAAATATGTTTTTTTAAATCATTGACATTAAAGACTATAGCCACTGCTCACCTAAAAACGATATGGAGGTAGGCTAGAAGTCCCACTACAAAGTCCCAGTAGAAATTTTTGCATGCTTTCTTCAAATCTATTATTAATTATGCACTATTCATATTTGACATAATACTAAACAAGCTTCGATTATTACAACTGTTAATAACATATTTATTACCACTCTGCCTCTGCTGCCTGTAGATAACGTGACCAAGAATAATTGCAAAGAAAACACCCTCTATTAGAGCAGTCCTCTTAAATGTTTGTAAGAAAAGACAAGAGATGTTTTGAATGACACTGCACGTATGTGAGTCATTGAGTAAGATGCGTGGAGCTCTGTTAATCCTTTCAGTCATCAGTTTTGCTTTTTTTATGTTTCAAGATTATGAAGACAGAAACTATTGCTAACTCCAGATTCACCATGAATCACAATAATCCCCATATTCTATTTGTAGCCATCATGTTAACACAGCAGCTTTGCATTTTATTTGAACTAGATTATGCAGGGCATTATAGGCAGTCAGCACAAAACGTAACGTAACATACAATTTAGGACATGTCATAACAACTTATAAATTTAATAGGCTTCCCAAACATTGTCTACATACTGCACCAGGTGGAAGGTTTCAACTTGGTAGCTCAGAGAATAAATATCTGAAAAGCTCCAAAATTTCATAAGGAGTAACTATTACAAGAGATCAGGAGTCCCCGGTGGCGCAGTGGGTTAAACCCTTGTGCCGGCAGGACTATTGACCAAAAGGTTGGTGGTTCAAATCTGGGGAGTGGGGTGAGCTCCTGTCTGTCAGCTCCAACTTCTCATGTGGAGACATGAGAGAAGACATGAGAGATGGTGATCAATGTCCTTACAGATGGCCAATTATCTCACACCAGAGGCAACTTGCAGTTTCTCAAGTTGCTCCTGACATGAAATTTTTTTACAAGAGATGGATATGAAGCAACCATTCGTTAGTCATAAATAATACGGTGAAAATTGCAGTTCTGAGGTTCAAAGAGTAGATTAAATTGATCTCCCATTAATATGTACCCCAATAACAGCATATTAGGAAATATATTGTACAACCTATGTCCCAAAAACTGGTACAGACTGAGCAAACCCAGTTTCAAAGTATACAGTAGAGACAAAGGAGATCACACTGTGTAAGATACTGGGAGGACTTGTATCAGAAATACAGAACAGCTCCTACATATGTACCTCATTGAACACCATTTGGTTATCCTACTGACTAGCTAGCAGTATGTGAGAGATCTGAATAAAGTCTTATTCAAACGGGAAAAATAGTTTTACCTTTCCCACAAAAGAAGTGTAATGAACCATGCTTCCAGATGACATCAGACACCATAAATCACCCCATAAAGTTTAGCTTTCCCAAAGATATCTATCCAGTCCCAATCACTGATGTTTCAGTACACATTGAGCATCCTTTACCTGGAATTACAGAATCCAAAATACTCCAAAATCCAAACCTGTCTCCATAGGTGGCTGAAATATAGCACCTTGACTTTCTTATGGTTCAATGTACACAAACTTTGTTTCATGCACCAAATTATTAAAAATAGTGTTTATAAAATGCAAATAAAGTATATATGAAATATAAATGATTTTCATGTTAGATCTGGGACCTGTCTCCAGGAAATCTTATTTATGTAAATGCATAAAAAAGCCAAAAGCTAAAACGCTTCTGGTCCTAGGCATATCAGATAAAGGATACTCAACTCGAATCTGCTGGTAGACATGTCAACGATACACATAAATGACATGGTTTCAGCATTTTCAATGAAACGGAGGCAGCTAGAATTTCATTTTAAACTATTTTCATTAAAGTCTGTTTGTTCTAAGATGGTTATTAATCAGATAAGCTTTTGATTCATCCAGTGCAGCTAGCGCTTATTTAAACATAGCTATTAAATATTTAGCCTTCTTACTTGACATCTTGCTTGCAGAAGAACCACCTGTAATACAAGACACAGCATCTATATCTGTATCACTTGCAGAGGAAGCCAAGCGAAGAATTTCAGGAATGTCAGTCTCTGTCTCTGCTTCAGTATCTGTGCTCTGCATAAAAGCAAATAAAAACTATGGTACCATATTCCAATTGAGGAATAGGAACTCACATCCTAAATCAGCATTTTCAAAAGGAACTTGCTCTTTGTGAAGAGCAAACATCAACTCTTAGTATTACATTGCCAAGGAAAATACCAAATGGTAGAAACATTCAGAAATTAGGAATCATGATTGGAGGAAGGGCAATAACCCTCATATAATATGGCAAGATCAAGATTTGTAATTTTTTAAAATGGCAAGCCATGGATCATGGTTGAATCTATGGATACAGAATCTGTGGCTATAGAGGGACAACTGTATGCACACCTTGCCCCTATAGAAAGTGGCATCTGATATGGATCACTGTTGAATTGTTTGAATCCACAGTGACCACAATCCATTGTTTTGACCCAAATTAGTCCCAGGGAGGGTAACAAATTCATGGTAAATCTCCTTTTATGTCATGCTCTTTGAGAGAAGACATGAAGAGAGGATAGGTAAACTGTAGTGTCACTATCTGAATGTCTGTGATTTAAGCACAAGACTGTGCATAGATGCTTTCCTCCCACTGTTTGAAAATGTAAAGATCCTTCCAATAAAACTACAACTCCGATTTCCCTTATATTGATTGATCCTTGAGTATAAGCAGAGTATAAAGGCTGAAAAACTTGGCCTATACCCTAGTATATACGGTAATAAGGCTTGAATTACAGGGCCCACTGTACAATGTTAATGTAACTCCTGTGCTATGTATAAGGTTAGAAAATCACATGCTCTTTATAAGACTAGAAATTAGTATTTCTGCCTGTGTTTTCAGAATATGTTATTTTGATTTGGGCTCCATCTGCTGGATTTAATGCCCTAAAACATGGTTTTCAAAGTGAGCTACTTATTTCATTAACAAAGCATAAACAAAGTTATAACTAACATCTATAGGAAGTTTTAAATGCCAGGCATAATTATTATCACTGATGAGCTTGGCTTTTATTAGGAACTGAGGCAAGCTGTTTACATATTTTAATGTAGAAAGAGTCTGGTGGTCGTGTATGAAGAGGAACACATTTCATTATGACATATATGAACTTTCATGGGCCAAAGCTCACTTTAATCAGTCACTTCTAATGAAAAGTGCTATATTCAGAAAAGCCTATGCAATAATTGCTACATTTTAACAGGTTTCAAGACTTATTATTATTATTATTATTATTATTATTATTACTACTACTACTATTATTTTGCTATAACAAACTCATACAGGCATCACTTTCAAAACAGAGACATGTTATACCAACTCTTTGTTTTTGTGGCTGAAAACAGACCTGTTTAGAAAAACAATATATGAACAATGTGTTGTCAAATGTGTTGTCAAAGCTGTTGCTGCCTACTCCTGATATCTATGCTCTTGGACCCTTCAGTGTAGAAAAGATGACTATTTACCTACTGCAAACTTAACACTTACTGACAAAATCTCAGGAGTACGAGCACTGACAGGCTTCTTACAAAAAGCCAGCTTGCTCTTCTGAAGGTATCTTCGCCACAGATTATACAAAACTTCATCCTGAGAAGAACAAAAAAAAAAAAAAATTCAGCCAGATATTTTAATTTGGATATTTATTTCACAAACATGCGCATTTTAGAGACTCTACTACAGTGTACATGAATTTTGGGAAGTTTTCTTATTCAAGTTGCATGGATACATTTCATTCATTAACCTTAATCTTTGATTTGTTGATTATATAAGCCTGGACTATAAATATTCATTGGAGTAACATGTGGTTTTTCAAAAGTTATAAGAAAAAATATATTGCATACATCTACAAATGATGTTTTTTTAAAAGGAATTATCTTATTTAGGACACATTTAGTGAGAACTAGACTGCACAAATGAAAATGGTTACATCTTGATGTCCTATGTCCTCATTTCCTAGCAGGCTTATAATTTCCTCTAAGGTCTTACCTTATTATTTCTTTAGCAGGTTTACAACCACTTTAGGTCTTATATAGGTCAAGAGAAAGCAAAAGGCACCATTATTGATGTATTTAATGCTGCTGAAAGATCCAGGAGCATTAAAACAGACACCCTCTTATTACTCCAGTTCATAACACAAGCCTCAGCTGGTGCTTCTGCCATTTTAAAACTAAGCCCCCTTCCACACAGACGAATAAAATCCCACATTATCTGCTTGGAACTGGAAAATATAGCAGTGTGGATTCAGATAACCCAGTTCCAAGCAGATATTGTGGGATTTTCTGCAGTGATATTCTGGGTTATATGGCTGTGTGGAAGGGCCCCAAGACTGAATCCAGATTTAAAGAGATCAAGACCATCAGCTTCCTCTCACAAAGCTGGGTTTATGTATAAGGGGAAGTCTCTCTTTCTGTTTAGATTAACTGCACCAGAATCCTGAAAAGTGGATATCCTTATCTATGGGGATAAATCAAACACCACTGTCAATCAGCCCTTCACATTTGCTGGGGTTACGAGGCACAGGACACCCATGAAAGCAAAAATTCATGAATAACACCCCTTTCTTTTTTTGTATGAGAGAATGCAACTCTAGGAATATCTAGAGCCCCTTCCACACAGCTGAATAAAATCCCACACTATCTGCTTTGAACAGGAATATATGGCTGTGTGGACTCAGATAACCCAGTTCAAAGCAGATATTGTGGGATTTTCTGCCTTGACATTCTGGGTTATAGGGCTGTGTGGAAGGGCCCTAGGTCATCCATAGTCAATCTATTATGACCAGCTTCTGGCAGAGTCACACTAGAGGACCAACAGATTCCTGGAAACAATATTTTAATCAAATCTGCAAATGATCAAATCTGCAGAATCAAAACGATAAATGTGGAGGGGAGGGCCAACTGTAGTTTTGAAGATGGCTGGGTAAGTTCAAGAAGCCACAATTAAAATTAACCACTGTTTGTCTGGTTTTTATTCTACATTCCTCCTTGCACCCAGAGCATTACGCATATAAGTGCGTAAACTATAGGATTACAGTTGTTTGCCCTCATAATTCTGAACTAAGAAATTGTACTGATGTACCTTTATGTGTGAAGAAACTCCTAAGGACTGCAGAGCTTCACCTTGCTTCTGGAGTATATACTGAAAGCCTTCACAGATATACCATTCCCAGCCTTTATCTAAAAAATAAATCCATAGAAAGTGTCATGCTATCGTTCATAGCTTAGATTTGCCCCAGCTTAAATCAGAAACATTAAATTTTCATTCTTAGGAATGAATGTAACAAAGTGTGGCTTGTTGTTGCTGTGTGTTTTCAAGTCACTTCCAACTTATGGCATCCCTAAAGCAAACCTGATGGGATTTTTTGAGGCTAAAAGGAAATGATTTGTCCAGGGTCATCAGATGTTTTTTCATGACTAATTCAAACTTTAGTCTCCAGTGTCAATGCTGAAACCACTATACCAGGCATCCTCAACTTGCGGCCCTCCAGCTGTTTGGGCCTCCAACTCCCAGAAGCCCTAACAAGCTTGTTCTATTGTCAGGAATTTTGGGAGTTGAAGGCCCAAACAGCTGGAGGGCTGCAGTTTGAGGGTGCCTGCACTATACCATACTGGCTTTCAGTGCTATAGAAAGGGGAATGAATTTTCCAATGTTGTTAATCTGCTATGGAAGTGAGATAAGTCACACTTTGCACACTTCAGTTTTCTTTGCTTCAGCATTATATAAACCATAGGAGACTATCATTCTTTGGGATGCTCCTGAAGAAAATTCACACTAGATTTTAGGGACTCCATTTAGTCAGCAACAGGGAACGGGATCACTGCGTAGCTCCCTGATTTCTTGTCCAGCACTGCCGTTCTTAAAGCAATTCCCCTCAACTATAGAAAGTCAGTGAGATCTCTAAAGAAAGAATTGGACATCCAACAATAATGATTGGAAAACACCATAAAGTGAGAATTCCTTTAAAAGTATTTTCATTCCATTGTTACCAGCCCAGAGTCCTATACAGGGAGAGAGAAAATGTTACCCCTTTTCTGTATCTCTCCTTTTCTGAAGGCTAGAAACTCTTTTAAAACTGAAAAGTTGAATCTCAAAAATGTAACATCCCTGTAGCCTCCAGAATGCATAGCTTGACTGCGTAAAATGACGAATGTTAATGAGCAAAGCACATTGGAAAAGGTTAGGCTGTCTGCTTGTGACATATATGAAGTGAAAAGCATGTTTCATTTTTAGAACAAATTGAGAAGAATACTTGCCAAACTTCCTCCTCTTTTTTAGTCCTCTACAAAGCGATTGTGCTCTAGCATTTGAAGCAACGTCACCAGTTATAACTTCTCGAGTTCTCTAAAAGATAATTTTGAAAACAAACATGGTTAAGAAATGCTCTTTAGTTTATATTTAGACTGGCAGGTCTGGAGAGGTGTTTATGGTCCAGTTTCCACTCATGAGTATCCACAACTCCAAAAGTCACCTATATTAGAAAGTAAACAAATCCTCAAATTTCTTTAAAATGAGGCATGCGAGAATGATATTGTGAGATCATGTAATATAGGGTGGAACAGAAATAGTTTTACATTATAATCACTTTCATTTTAATTTTCATAGAATCACAGAGTTGGAAGAGACCACATGGCCAACTAGAAAAAAGAATAATCGAAGTACCTCTGACAGAAGGCCACCCAGCCTCTTTTTAAAAGCCTCCAAGGAAGAAGCTTCCACCAGGTAGAGAGAGTTCCACTGCTAAACAGCTCTTACAGTCTGGAAGTTCTTCATCTTCAACAATTCAGGAATGGAATTGTTAAAGAAAAACATGAAGCTGGAAGGGGTCCTATTAGCTAACAGTTCCAACCTCCTGCTCAATGCAGAATGTCCAGATAAAGCATCTAAGCAGGTGAGTCTATGTCACCCTTCTCCTCATCAGGCTGTCCATGCTATGCTTGTTCAACCTCTTCTTATATGTTTTTTTTCTATACCTCTTACTATTCCCATTACTCTTCTCTGAACTCACTCCATTTTGTCTATATCTTTCTTAAATAGAGATGCCCAGAACTGAATACAATCACTGGCCAGTGCAGAAAAAAATATAACACTATCACTTCCTTCAACTTGGCAATAACGCTTCTATCAATGCAGGCCAAAACAGCATTTGTCTTCTTTGTTGCAGTATCACACTGCTGACTCATGTACAATTTATGATCAAGAGTAATCCCAAGATCCTTTTTATTCACAGAAAAGTCGAACCAAGTATCTGCCATCTTTTATCTGTGCTTTTAATTTTGTGGCCTAAATGTAGACTTTTACATTTGTCTCTGTTACACTTCATTTTATTAAGTTTAGTCCAGTTTTCCAGGTTATTTTGAATGCTGTTCCTGTCCTCCAATGTACTGACTACCCCATCCAGTTTTGCATCATTTGCAAATTGTGGCATTCCACTTGAGGCTGCCTTCCAATCTGAAGCAGAGCCATTGACAACAACTCCTTGAGCAATTATGGATCCATCTGATGGCATTTCAATCTATTCCATATTTAGACAATTTGCTAATCAAAATATCATGGGGACTTTATCAAATAGTTTGCTGAAAGCCAGAATAATGGAACTCACAGCATTCCCACCACCTACTAAATTAATGATCCAATTAAAAAAAAAGATCTAGGATAAGTTTGGAATGATTTGTTCTTGACAAACCCATGTTGGCCGCTACTAATCACTGCATTGTCATCCAGATACTTGCAGACATTTTCCTTTAAGCATGGAAATATGACATGATTAAAATTAATTATGAATATAATGGAGTCAGCAGCAGAGGCTGCAAAAATTGGTCCCAAGTAAGCAACTGGAAGGAAAACAGCTTTTTATGCACAAATCTGACTTGGATGCAGACCCTGGCTGAGAATCCTACACAGTACAACAATACTCTTCTAGACTCTTGGGTGTATTTTTGGGCTGTGATATGCATCTGTATTCTGAGTCACTAATTAGTCAGAGGAAGATTATTAATAAAGATCCCAGACAATGCTGATGATTTAATTTTTAACTAAAGATTCACAGTTTAGGAGTGTGGAAGGGGATAACAGTATAGATCATTACTTACTTCTGTGACCGTGTGGCAAGATCTGCAGTAAAATTTTCCTTCTTCTGTAACACCCCAGTCGACAGAAATACATTTTGCACAAGGTTCATCAAAATCTCTCTGAAAACAATAAAATCAATTTTAATGTTAATACCTACTTTTCATACTATTCAAACACACTATAAACTGACATAGAAGTAAGATTTGAGAGAAATATCTCCTTTAAATGTAATAATCACACAAAAATCACTGTGTTCACTTAGAAATGAAGTGGATTGTGGTCAATAGGGCCTCCAAGTAAGTGTGCCTAGAACTGCACCCAAGTATTATGCACCTTTACCAACAAGCACATTCTATTGAGCATAGTGGGGCTTAGGCTTATATAAACGAAATGCATTAGATTGTGGTATGAAGCACCTAATTTAATTAGCTTTAGATTTCTCCATCTAAAGATGTTGTTTATAAACACTGTAAGATAGTTGGACTTTAACCAGAAATGTTGGATGCATACAGACTTGTATGATGAGCTGGACACCCCAAAGGACAGCCAAGTTCTTCCTATACAATTATAATTTATTGTTTTAAAAAATATCAATAGGGTATTGTCCAATTTCATACGTAGGTGTGGCAATTTTCTTAGTTTCCTTTTTTGCAGACATCAACAGTCCTGAATCCAATACATTTTAAATGGTGAATTTTAACTTTACATTCTACTTGTATTTTAATATAGCTATTTGCATTGTATTTTAATTTATGTATTTTGCAATGGTGTGTTTTAATGTATTGATTTTATGACATGTATTTTATAGTGTTGTGTTTTGACTGTGTTGTTCCTCATCTCAAGCTGTGAGAAAAGACAAGTAACACATAAAAATATCATTTTATTATTAATTATGTAATAATTGCTTGTATAGGCATGAAGCATGCATTTTCCCCCTCAACCTGGCTGCATCTTTTCTCAAAATACACATATCCTCAAATGCTGACTTTTTAGCATCCCGTTTAAGGTGCATCTACACTGTAAAACTAATGCAGATTCACACTTTTTTTGCTGACATGGATCAATGCTATGGAATCCTGAGAGTTGTAGTTTTACAAGGCCTTTAGCCAAAGGGCTCCTCCATACAGCCCTATATCCCAGAGTATCAATGCAGAAAATTCCACATTATCTGAGTGTGGACTCAGATAATCCAGTTCAAAGTGGATATTGTGGGATTTTCTGCCTTGGTATTCTGGGATATAGGGCTGTGTGGAAGGGCCCAGAGTGCTTGTACCTCTCCAAACTGCAACTCTTGGCATTATGTAGCATTGAGACCCCTTCCACACAGCTGCATGAAAGTCCACGTTATCTGCTTCGGATAAGTAAGCTCCGGCCCAGCTTACTTATCCGAACGTATCTCTCTCTACATTCTACCTTGTAATTTAAGATCTACTGGGGAGGCCCTGCTCTCGGTCCCACCAGCGTCACAAACACGTCTGGTGGGGATGAGGGACAGGGCCTTCTCAGTGGTGGCCCCCCGCTTGTGGAATTCGCTCCCCAACAAGATCAGATCAGCATCCCCCCTCCTTACTTTTAGGAAAAAGCTAAAGTCGTGGTTTTGGAGCCTGCCCTTTGGCTAGTGGGCACAGCAGCACTTTAGATACTTTGCTATGAGTTATTTATTGTTGTATTGTTGTTGTTGTTGTGTTTTTTGTTTCTGATGTATTTGGGCTCGGCCTCTTGTAAGCCGCACCGAGTCCTGCGGGAGATGGTAGCGGGGTATAAATAAAGGTTTATTATTATTATATACTGAACCCGGACCATAGGATTGTTATGACAATTGGAAACGGCTCTGTGACTTGATTTGGCAACTTTGTTAGTATATGAGTATGTGATTTTAATTAATATTACTCTTTTAATTTGCTATGTATTTGATTTTACATTGTTGTATTGATATTATGGCATTGAATTGTTGCCCATGTTAGCCGCCCTGAGTCCCCCCTCGGGGGGTGAGAAGGGCGGTGTAGAAATAGTGTAAATAAAATAAATAAATAATGGAATATTTGGCAGTGTGGACTCAGATAACCCAGTTCAAAGCAGATATTGTGGGATTTTCTGCCTTGATATTCTGGGTTATAGGGCTGCGTAGAAGGGTCTGCTATCTGCTCCACGTGGGTTTTTGCTCTCCTTCCCTGGGCCCTTCCACACAATCCTATATCCCAGAATATCAAGGCAGAACATCCCACAATATCTGCTTTGAACTGGGATATCTGAGTCCACACTGCCATATATACCAGCTCAAAGCGGATAATGTGGGGTTTTATTCAGCTGTATGGAAGAAGCGCTCCTTCTCCCCGAAATGCCCCCTTCCCTCAGCCTAGCCTCACCGCCTCCTCTTCCTCCATCGGAAGGTCCCTTCCAGGCCACCGTCGATGGTCCCCACGGTGCGAGAGAAGCCCACCGGATGAGCGGTCCGCTCTCAAAAACAGTCGGCCAGGAAACAACACTCCGAGTGCTTTGGTTCCGAGGCTCGAAGTGCAGCGGCTTCTCTCTGTCGCTCGTCGCCCCCTGCAGGGAAAGAGGCGCGCCCTTCAAGCACAACCCATGGGATGCGTGTGAGAAAAGTGAATGTGAGAGAGATCAGTCAAAAAGGCAGCAGTTGACACTCGCCTCTCTGTACCAAGTCATAAGCGATTTTGATAAGAAAGCCCAGATGGCAGAACATGTGGCCTAGTAAGTGTAAATGTGGTTCTTTTTGGCAACTGATCTTCCATTCGCCTTCCAGAATGGGAGGACATATCAACTATCAACACGAAGGCTCCTTCCACACAGCTGAGTACAGGCCCGTAGCCAGGATTTCGTTTGGGGGGGGGGGGGGGCGAAATTTTTTTGGGGGGTTTCGGGGGGGGGGGCTGAGTCTGAGTGAAAGAGGGTCTACCATAGCAAACCTTTTGTATCATTACCCCAATACCCCCATGCATATGGGATATATTGAGTATGGTGATCAGATCATGATATGAATAAACATAACAGTTTAAATAATGCACCAGTAAGGCCTTTTTTCGCGAACCACCATGAAAATTTCGGGGGGGGGGGGGCTGAAGCCCCTCAAGCCCCCCCCCCCCCCGGCTACATGCCTGGCTGAGTAAAATCCCACATTATCTGCTTTGAACTAGGTTATACCTAGGAAGGAAAAAGGAAGAGGGGCCGACCAAGGGCAAGATGGGTGGATGGTATGCTTGAAGTGACTGGATTGACCTTGAAGGAGCTGGGGGTGGTGACAGCCGACAGGGAGCTCTGGTGTGGACTGGTCCATGAAGTCACGAAGAGTCAGAAATGACTGAACAAATGAACAACAGCAACAATATGGCAGCGTGGACTCAGATAACCCAGTTCAAAGCAGATATTGTGGATTAGCTGCTTTGATATTCTGGGTTCTATAACTGTGTGGAAGGGCCCTATATCGCAGGATCTGATCCCAGGTTTTCTGTTTATCCCAGATTATCTAACAGTGGGGACTCGTATAATCCAATTTAAAGCAGAACACCTGGGATATAGGACCTGTTTGGAAGGATCCTGGGTTATCTAAGGGCCCTTCCACACATATTCCAGAATATCAAGGCAGAAAATCCCACAATATCTGCTTTGAACTGGGTTATCTGAGAGCCCTTCCATGCAGCCCTATATCCCAGAATATCAAGGCAGAAAATCCCACATTATCTGAGTGTGGACTCAGATAATCCAGTTCAAAGCAGATATTGTGGGATTTCCTGCCTTGATATTCTGGGATATAGGGCTGTGTGGAAGGGCCCTGAGTCCACACTCAGATAATGTGGGATTTCCTGCCTTGATAGTCTGGGATACAGGGCTGTGTGGAAGGGCCCTGAGTCCACACTGACATATACTCCAGTTCAAAGGAGATATTGTGGGATTTTCTGCCTTGATATTCTGGGTTATATGGCTGTGTGGAAGAGCCCTAAGACTCCCTATAAGGCCCCTTCCACACTGTCCTATATCCCAGGATCTGATCCCAGATTACCTTCTTATCCTTGATTATTTGGAAGTGGAGACTCATATAATTGAGATTAAAGAAGATAAGTTTTGAACCCAGTTAAGTCCCTTCCACAAAGCCTTATATTCCAGAATATCAAGGCAGGAAATCCCACATTATCTGAGTGTGGACTCAGATAACCCAGTTCAAAGCAGATAATGTGGGATTTTCTGCCTTGATAACCTGTGTGGAAGGGCTCTAAGTCAATGGCAGTTGGATTGGATGGAGGCAGGAAGGGGGAGGAAAGTCTGCTCTATGTCCACACAAATTCTCATGGTGGTCTGCGAAAAGGCCTTACTGGTACATTATTTAAACTGTTATGTTTATTCATATCATGATCTGATCACCATGCTCAATATATCCCATATGCATGGGGGTATTGGGGTAACGATACAAAAGGTTTGCTAGGGTAGACCCTCTTTAACTCAGACTCAGCCCCCCCCCCCCCCAATCAAAAACTGGCTACGGGCCAGTTTCAAACCTTTTGATCAGGTGCCCTGAAAACTATAGTATTTTCTGGCTTTTGACTCAGGGCCCTTGTACACAACCCTATATTCCAGAATATCAAGGCAGAAAATCCCACAATATCTTATTTGAACTGGGTTATCTGAGTCCACACTGCCATATATCCCAGTTCAACACAGAAAATGTGGGATTTTATTCAGGTGTGGAAGGGGCCTTAGTTGCCTTCTCTCAACATGCCGCAGTTAACATTCAGTCCTCGACTGAGCAGGAAGAGAGACAATCAGCCCAAGACTCTCCATCAATATGTCTTCTACACAGGCCTTCCTTGTTCTGCTCACATGTTCACCAGTTTGCCGGAAGGGGCATTAGTCATTCATTTCTAACTCAAAAGTAAATTTTGTTTCCATTTGGAATGCGAAATGTAGCATGAGCAGCCCTTGTCAGGAATTTCGAAATTCAAAATCCAAAATTCTCCAAAATCCAAAAGTGTACACATGAAATGGTGAAATCTTTGCTTCTTGACAATTTGAACTACACAAACTTGGCTTCATGCACAAAATTGTTTTAAAATTGTGTATTAAATTACTTTCATAAATACTTATGAATGTAAAGTGTATATGAAACATAAATGAAATTTGTGCTTCGATTCTCATAAGCACATATATGCAAACACAGGTATTTCAAAATCCCCCCAAAATAATAATCTGAAATCTAAAACACCTTTAGTCCTACTGTTTCAGATAAGAAGACTCAACCTGTATATGCATGTATTCTTTTTAAAAAGCACACACTCTGAACCATTGTTATTGTATTTTATTTCATGGCTGTTCATTGTTCAATTAACCCCTATGTTCATCACTCGGTACCGATTCCCTCTTTCCCACTCACTCTTCCTTGCTCAAACACCAATTGGAGGAAAGCCAACCCTGCCTTTAAATAATGACATACACATATAACCAGTTATTCAACATATACAATTATATGCTAACCTTTGTCTATAATTATATGTTACCTAAGTATAAGGAGACATTGATAGGAATATGATAATGTTGGAGTAAGGAGACAGTCTGTCTTCTTGCTTCAGTTCACTTTTCTAATTAAGATTGTTATATGCAGTACGCACAGCTTGATACACAACTCAGATAAATACACGCCCGGTGGATTCTTCCAGGCTTCCTTTCTAATGAACAAGATTCCACTGCTAATATTACTGTTCTGGTTCCCATTTTCCCAAAGCCGAATAGACCATTGACACACACACTGTTTAGGTTTTGGTGTTAGACATGCTTAATTATAAGGAAGCCATTCTCTTTGGTGACATGTTAAATGTCAAGGCATTTGCTTTCAGGAAACAAGCAACCTGTGTCAAATAACACCTCAAAGTGTCTCTGCTAAGAGTTATCTGAGGAACCCACAATTATCTCTTGCTCACTAAGAAGGCGTAGGACCTCGTCAGATGCAAGTCGTGTTTACCACCACCCCCCACCCCCCATTTCTATACACTTTAAAAACAGAGCTCATCATACGACACAAAATGACTTCTTCCTGTTGTCCATGGTAATCCATCTGTGAAGTGTTTTAAAAGTGTGTACAAATGGGGAGAATTGGAGTCAGGGAGAAATATCTTCTGAGCTCCTGATTCATGCGTAAATAGCAGAAGGTGCTTATTTACATGTGGGATGGGATCTGTCAGATTCTTCCAAGTTACCTCATTTTAGTGACACCGAGGAATAGGTGTTTCTATGGGTGGTCTCCAAATGGGTATCAATGCTCCATTACTCACCTAAAATTTTGTTGAATAATCCTTTCATGGTAATTTCTTTTAATTAATGTAATCACCAGGAATTGCGCGATTTCGAAATATCACCACTTAACCATTCCTGTATTTTCTCCTTTCTTGAAACCTTGGCTCTCCGAATTGCTCCATAGCTATCTTCTTAACTTTTTTCCCTTTTTTTATAACAAATTATCTCCAGCAAAGGATCACCGCCTTGTCGGGGCGCTGGAGCTTGAGCACCTCAATGATGTCATGAGCGAAACCGTGAAGGGCCACCCAAGACGGGACGGTGTGGCAGAGAGGTCAGACCAAGCGTGATCCCTGGGGAAGGCAATGGCAAACCACTCCAGTATCCTTGCCAAGAAAACTAAATGGACCAGTACAACCAGAGATATGTCGGTATGCCATTGGAAGATGGGACTCCCAGGTCGGAAGATGGCCAAAATGCTACTGGGGAGGAGCAGAGGATAAGTTCAACTAGCCCCAGATGTGATGACGCAGCTAGCTCAAAGCCGAAAGGAAGGCTAGCGGCCGACGGTACTGGAGGTGAACGACGAATCCGATGCTCTAAAGATCAACACACCATAGGAACCTGGAAGGTAAGATCTATGAGCCAGGGCAAATTGGATGTTGTTATTGGCGAGATGTCAAGACTAAAGATAGACATTCTGGGGGTCAGCGAACTGAAGTGGACTGGAATGGGCCACTTCACATCAGATGACCACCAGATCTACTACTCGGACAAGAGGAACATCGAAGAAATGGAGTAGCCTTCATAATTAATAAGAAAGTTGCTAAAGCAGTGCTTGGATACAATCCAAAAAATGACAGAATGATCTCAATTCGAGTGCAAGGAAAGCCTTTAACATCACAGTGATCCAAATATATGCCCCAACCACAGCTGCTGAAGAAGCAGAAGTAGATCAGTTCTATGAGGATCTGCAGGACCTACTGGATAATACACCAAAAAGAGACATTATTTTCATTACAGGAGACTGGAATGCCAAGGTGGGAAGTCAAATGACAACAGGGATCACAGGCAAGCATGGTCTGGGAGAACAAAATGAAGCGGGACGCAGGCTGATAGAATTTTGCCAGGAAAACTCGCTGTGTATAACGAATACTCTCTTCCAACAACCTAAAAGACGGCTTTATACATGGACCTCACCAGATGGTCCACACCGAAATCAGATTGACTACATCCTTTGCAGCCA